ATTTGAATTTCATTTCCTGTTTGCCCAGCACAGGAAATGAAATTCAAATGTTCGCGGGGCTTTTCCTGTCTACCTGGCCAGTGCATCCGAGTTCAGATTGCTGTCCAGAGCGGTCACAATGGTGCACTGTGGGATAGTTCCCGGAAGCCAATAGTGTCGAATTGCAGCCACACTAACCCTAATTCGAAATGGCAATGTCGATTTTGGCGCTACTCCCCTCGTCGGGGAGGAGTACAGAAATAGATTTTAAGAGCCCTTTATTTCGAAGTAAATGGCTTCGTTGTGTGGACAGGTGCAGGGTTAATTCGATTTAATGCTGCTAAATTCGAACTAAACTCATAGTGTAGACCAGGCCAAAGGATGAAATGAATATTTACTCCAATAATCAGTTCCAAACTAATTAGGAAGGGAGGATGGACATCAAATGAGCCCCTGGAAGACAAATACTAATATGCCCCAGCCAAAGGTTTCTAGTTGAAGGAAAACAAGACCCCTTTATACTTAGCAAAAAAAAAGGAGGAAACCAGAAAACTTTTCTAGCTGTATAGTGAGATTAGCTATACTCCTTGCAGTAGTCACAGGTTTAGTCCTACAAGATTATTTGACATGTCATTAAGTAAGTCATTAAACATGTTTAGTACCAAAACCCCCCAAAACAATTCACTGAACTGTGTGGAGGTTATACATGTGTAAAATGATGTTACAGTGACAACTGCCATCTAATATGCACACCAAAAAAGGTGGATGACAAATATAAGACACTAATAGCAGGAAAACAAACATATTTAGACTGCATTTTTTACTCTTATAATATAGGAATACCAATAGGGATACCAAAGACAGGCTGGTACTCTCACATATGCTTAGAAAATATACTTTGGTCAGGGTATTCTTATATAACAGAATTCTTTGTTCATATAAAAGACAGAGGTGTCAACTCCAGGCTTGCAGGTTGGATCCAGGCCATTTGACATATTGGGCTCACGTGGCACATTTAAATTCGTCAGAATCTGAGCCTTCATCTTTTTAATTAAAATAATTTTCTAGTGCATTGAAATGCAAAAAAACTCTGACCTTTTAAAGGGTGAACCAAGTATAAGCCAATACAGTGTTGTGTTCTTGAATCTGCAGAGAGCCATTGAAGCCTCATCTCAGGGTTAACAGCCTAATGATAATACATTTATATATCAGCATCAACTATTTAATTGCTGAACTTTTTAGCAGATGATGCCCCTGGGATAGAATATTCACATGAAGAATAAATTTGAGATGTGTCTGGTTGTTTTTTGGTACATATCAATGCTAAAACTCCAGATTAAAGAGGCTGCAGGATTAATGTCAACTACCAGAAATTTAAGCAGAAGTGCAACACATATGTTCCAGTCACTTAGGCTTTACATTGCCTTTGTTCCTTGAAAACTGATTTTACATTGCATTTAGTTCCAGAATGAGTATTTTTTCTAAATGATTATTTCATCACTACAGCAAATAATATCTTAAAGACTACCAAGTGAAGAATAAAAGCAATAAATGTGCTCTAGTTTAAGTCAAATTAGTATGCTGCTTACCTAAGAAATGGAGTCTTGAAGCAGTCCACCTGGAAATACACTTCTTTGCATTAAGACAAAGAGATCATTCTGCCTCCAACCAAGCACAGTGACAGGAACAGTGAAAGCTACCACAGGGTGGGAATTCTTTTGAGATTACTAAAATGTATGATTAAAAGATGTTACACCTGGTTCCTTATTACCTCAGTCACAAGTTTCATTGTATTCTAAATGGAGTCATGTGTCTCTACCTACTATACATCAAGCAACACTTTTTGGAGATTGTTCCCTCCAAAAATCACTACTTGTAAAACTAAACACTGTAGTTTCAATTTCAAACCTGCCTCCGTGTACTGACTTGACAGAGTCAAATTTTATAATGAGAATGCAATTCTGAATTATAAAAACAATACCAATGTGACCTAGATATTTCTTTTCCAGATGCATGCAGTTATTTTCACTCAGAGGCAGAATGATTTAAAAAATGTTTTAACTATTGCTTTTGCCTTTATACCTGTACATCACTGGCATAATGATGCTAGTAGGGTGTTTGATTGCTCCAAGAAACATAAACATATAAACTTAGGTTCATCCTTTAATATATGTTTCAGTTAGGTGCAGTTGAAAGTACATTTCCACAGACTGACCAGAATCTGGTCTTTAGTAGTACCCTAAACAGAAAGCACCAACATTCTAATTATTTTTGGTACCCATCTGGCACCATTCACATCAGTCATGGATTTCCTATCAGATGGTCTCAGATATTTAACTATGCTTCTTCTCTGTGCAGGATTGAAGACATGCATCTTACACAAGATAAAAGTTTTTAAAAAAACCTCATGAGACTGGTTGGCTCATGTGATTGGTAATAGAAACTTTCACTGTTAAGTTCAAATCAGGCCTGGATTGGTAATGAATTGAATCTGTTACCTGTTGTTACCTAAAGAGTGGCAAAGTTTAGTTCAGGGGTCGGCAATGTTCGGCACGCGGCTCGCCAGGGTTAGCACCCTGGCAGGCCGGGCCAGTTTTATTTACCTGCTGACACGGCAGGTTCGGCCGATCGCGGCCCCCACTGGCCGTGGTTCGCCGTCCCGGGCCAATCGGGGCGGCGAGAAGCGGCGCGGGCGAGCGATGTGCTGGCCGTGGCTTCTCGCCACCCCCATT